TCTATCTATCTATCTATCTATCTATCTATCTATCTATCTATCTATCTATCTATCTATCTATCTATCTATCTATCTATCAGCATCCAACCACATTATATGTTTATACCGCTTGCTACCAACTTCAACAACAAAGCCAGCAACCACCTACGAATCAAATCCATTTCCATCCTCCATCACGACTGCATCCTGCGACGCCCCAGTGGGCAGGAGACTCGCTGCCGGAGCCTCTGCTTCCCGCCAGGCCTCAGCGCCGCCGTAACCTGATATGCGGCGGCCAGCGGCAGGAGCTGCGCTTTTCCGCTGTCGGAGCACATTTGGTCCGGAGGTAACAACATCAGCCTCAGCAAGAACTTGAAAATATTCGGTCTGCATTCCCAGCAAATTACATGCTACAAAAAATGGCATGTTTTCTCCATACTACAGGGACATTTTGAACAACTTCTGAAAAACAACAACTTAATGCGTAATTCTAGTTCAGTTCTTCTTTTAAATAGTGTGAGAAGACATACTAAAATGTACATATATTTTTGGGCTATAAGCTTCTGTATAAAAGCCTTTACTGGTTGTGGCCCCAGTGGTCTCCTGTTTCTGATTAATCCTGAACAGTGACCTCTCTGGAATTACAGTGGCTAAGGGACCCACACTGAATGCAAACAAGACCAACCCAGATCTCTTACATGCACATTACTGCTGGCTGTCAGCCTATGGTACATTTTCTTTTATTGAAATTAATGCCTACACATGCTTTTGGAACTTTTTGTCCTAAATAGCATAACAGTTCACACACTGGAATGGTTACCAGATAGAAATGGACTCATTTTAAAACTGTTTTACTGGTTTCAATTAGTAGCAGTTTAAGATGGATACAAATGCATGAACTGCGTTAAAAAAGACTTTTCAAACCTTTATGGCTTAAATTCCTCAGTTTTACAACTGCTTTGTTCCACTTCTAAATGTAATGTATCGGCTGTTTCAGAATAAAGGTAACACTTTGTGATTACAATGTTATCATTGCTGAAAACATGTAAACAGTTCTGATAATAGGCCTAATAGTGCATTAACCTTTGTTTTTTTTTTGTTTATTTTGGTGACGATCCCCATTGTCAGTGAGGTGATGTGTTGTTCTGAGAGGAAAACTACTTTGTGCTGCCATGTTAATGACATACTGCAGCTGAATGGCTCCGTGAATTTTTACAAAACAAAACGAGACTTCTGAACAGTTTTTATGTCATTTCACGCAGGCATTTCCGTCAGCCAGACGGCAACACCCAGTGAGAAAGGAATCTAACCCTGTATTACGGCTCTGAAGCAGAAATCAAAGCATTCCTCGGCTGACAGTAGGTTTCCAGCAAAATATCTAGGGAATAGCATGGTTGGAGAATAATGAGTTTTGCATCTCCAACCATAGATGCCTTCATTCACGTCCACATACACTGGCAGTCAAAAGTTTGGAAACACTTACCCATAGAAATGTTTATTTGTAGTATTCTCTGCATTCTAGAATAAGTATAACGACATCGAAACTATAAAATAACATTTATGGAGTGATGCACTGACCAAAAATGTGTTTAACAAAAAAATAATTTGTTGACGGGGGCAGCTCTGTGGGTTGGTATTTAGAAGGTTGCTGGTTCAAATCCCTGGGTTGGCAGTGTGATCTCACCATTGGGCCCTTGAGCAAAGCCCTCAACCCCAGTTACTCCATGGACTGGCTGACCCTACTGTCTCCTCTATGCCAGTCTAATAAGGTGGCCTCCTGAGATGCTTTTCCAGCTGTCCTGAAGGAGGTCCCACATACATGCTGAACACTCATTGGCCACTTTCCCTTCACTCTCTGGTCAAACTCCTCCAAAACCATTTCTGCTGTGTTTCGGTCAGGTGGCCGGGTCATGCGATGCGACACTGTGACTCTCCTTTATGGGCGGCTTGCTGTGTCCAAACTTTTCCCTGGTACTGTAAATATTGGCACGTTATCATCGCACTTCAAGTGCTATTCCATGAGGTGCCACAAGACTTTCCTAAGAGCGGGTGTGAAGTGTCCACACTAAATGGACTATGGTGTGAGGACTGTCCCCACAGTGACGGTGACTTTGACAGCTGGGCCATCAGTGTTGGATTTAGGACAGGAACACACACCATGGGTTGACACCTCTGCCCTTGTGCTCTGGGGGCAGGATTGACAGCGTGAAGGCAGAGACGCCATGACATGCCAGGGAGACCAGCCAACTGCACGCTCCTGCGCAGATCACTTCCCACTAATTAGGATTATAAGGGTGACTCCACTGATCACCACCGTGTTGGTTCATGGTGACCAAGATGTTTGAAGCAAAAGGGACAGCCTCAACGTGTAGTTCTTGATTTTTCAAACTTAATTACAAAGCAGTCAACTAATAGGTAAGCCTCATAAAATTAAAAAAAATTAAAATAATTACCTCCCCATTTAGAAATTTATCCATGGTTATTAAAAGCCACTACATGGCATTAGAAAAAAAATCTTTCTGCTCAGCTGAATGCAGAAGTGTTGAAGAGGTTTAAAATACACAAAACAGAAACGCCGTCAGCCTTGGATTTACATCCATTTACATTCTTGGCTGCTTCTGCTGCCTTCAGAAGTTCTGTATTAATTGCTGCACATTTACACTTTTTTACTCACTTATCCTCAGGATGTAGCCTACATTTATGGTGCTTTTAACCAGTTAACCGCGTTTGCGAAATCCTTTCATTCCTTTTAAATGATTACAAAAAAAACTTTTCTAAAAGTACTTTTTAAAATTTGCGCAGCTAAGTGACTCTTAAGGAAGTTCCACAGAATCGACGGGTTAGAGGCAGAGATAAAAATATCCTCTTTTATAGATGAAACCCGGCTGAAAAAACAGGGCACTTACTGACGTGCTGCGTTTACGAGGCTCCAGCAAGTTCCCGAGTCCTGGAGCACGGCTGGGGTCCCGTGAATCCGTCCTCCTCTGTCCCCTTCACCGGCTGGGACGGATTCCTCTCTGCGCCGGGAAACGGATGGCGGCCCCCTCCCTCCCCCTCAGTCGGCCACCGAACGTCTCTCTGCAGATTCGCTTTTCGTTCTCAGTGGAAGGTGGGCTCCCGGAGCCCCCTCTCCGCCGGTGCAGGGAGGGCATGTTTTGAGCGAAGCTGGTGTTCAATGACTCCTTTCTTTTGCAGTGCGAGGGGCCGGGGTAAAGCTGTAATCTACTCCCCATCTGCACCCGGACTAATGGATGACAGATGAAATCCGAGGTATAAAAGACAAGCAGACTGGAAAGCGCCCCTGAACTGGCAAGATGTACTGAGCATTTAAACCAAGAGAAGCTGTTAACGACGAGACATAAAGCGAAAATGCAAAAATACGGCAGAACATGTGTGCTCATTGCAGTTCAACAATGATGATTCTTTGTTTAACCTAAGGAACACCCTACCTATTTTAGATAATTGTAGACCTTATTGTTTCAGGTAGCCAGTGGTATTATACAAAATACAAAAATTACACGACCTCATTAGAGTGTTTTCAAAGTTCTTCGAAACACCTTTAATCTAAAAAAAAAAAACACACACGAAGACCCCTAACGCCTTTTCGCGCACCGAATGCAAAACAACTGATATTTGCGTGACTAATAATTAACATTAAGTAGGCCTATTACAAACCAGCAAACAAAAGATCTTAATAAATAAAAAATGTAATACATGTGAGTAAAAAAACCGCGGCTAAATTATGGAAGCAAAACAACAATCTGTGAAAAATCTCTTCATACTACGACATGGTAATTACTGCAAGTACTGTGGTTAATTTCAGGTCCTCCTCGATTATTCCTGCTCCCTGGTGTAATACGGGCCAGCCCCACGAGTGACAGTAGAAATGCAGGTCAGCTTTGAGTTACATTTTCCAGAGAAAAACTTAATACTGTTGTCCACACGTGCATTGCAACAAAAGGAGATTAAGCCACTTAGTGTTTATTAAATTAGCTACTATGTTGGACTATATTAATGACTGTGAAAGAAATAATTATGCCACATTTATTTTCAGTGCCATTTCTGATTATATTAACATAGCATATATATATAAGTCTCCATCCATCCATCTATCCATCCATCCATCCATCTTAAACTTCACAATACCATGCTGGATAACATACTGTAGATACAGTAAATGTGTGTGATGATGCTGTTCATCCCACCAAAATCTAACCTGACACATCCCTGGAAGGTTTGTATTACCATGAAAAGCAGCGACTCTAACCTGCCCCCATATAATTTCGCTGTAAGCTGTGTCTCCCAGATGTGCTCCCCGACTCTCCCAGGGCACAGCCTGCATTCTCATGTCAGCTGCATCAGCATGACAGCTGCAGGAGAGCCAGGCATGTTTAGTCTGGACTGTACAGAATAAGAGCAGGCAGGGAGGAAGCACCTTCCACACTGTCGAAGACAGGAATCCACCCAAATGTGAGCCGCAGCTTAGAGACTCGGAATGTCTAATGACGCTGTGATACCCAAAGGGAACATGCAGAGCAGAAAGGAAACATGCAAAGTCACATGGAATAGAGGTGCAATTCAAGCCCTCAAGCCAGCAGATGTGAGCTGGCACAGATTCTCAACCTGCTGAGCTGCACGCCACCCCTCCTGATTCAGCAGATCAAATCCTGTAGCCTCCAGAGTAATTATATCACCACTGGACCCGTTAGCAAGGCCCTTAACCCCGATTACTGCTGGGACGCTGGCTTATACTGCTCCCTGATCCTCACTTCAACCCTTGTTCCTTTAACAGACAAGTGTCTGTTAAATAAGTAAATGTAAATCCACACAAGCCACCTGTTTGGCTGGTGTGGGCCTTCATTTCGGGAATTTCCTTTCTGGCCTTGGGTCACGCGTGTGTGAGTCTGCCTTTTAGTGAGGAAGCAAACGAGCTCACAAATCACAGGCTGTGTCCCTGTGTTTGCCTATAAACCGTGTCCACATTCAAGGTGAGTGTTAATGGGCCCAATTCCCTGTGAAAAAGCAGCTAGATCCAGCAGCGTTGTTCTAATAATACATATACTACCCTCAGTAAGGAAAATGTAAATAATTTACATTATGCGGAGCTAAACAAAAAATGTTTATATTTCACTATGGTGAAGTCGTTGGCTAGAGGGACTGATCCCACACAGATGGAAACTTCGCAACAATAAAGCATTCTGACTGTCCATGGCAATCATCCAATTGTCATAAATGGTACTTCCATATAAATCAGTCCTAAGTATATATCTGGGATTGTGTGACACGGATCTTACGTGCGCATTAGTGTGCCATAAAATCGGTCTTACATAACCAGCAGATGCTCCTGCCCAAATTGATATTGAGGTGAGGATCAGCGAGCAGAGGGCTAACCAGCATCTCTGGAGTAACTGGGGTTAAGGACCTTTCTCAAGGGCCCAACGGTGACGTCGCTGTACTAGCCACAGGATTTGAAGTGATGACCTTCCAAGCATGTGCACAAAGTCCTACCCCACAGAGCCACATAAAGAGCTCAGCTAACCTTCAGATTGAGAAATCACATAAACTAAAGGACATACTTACATTTACTTTAAGTAGCAGACGCTTTTGTCCAAAGTGATGTACAAGTGATGCATATAGCACCTTACAAGCATACGTGCTGTTAAGGAGTCAACTAAGCATGAGTAAAACTCGGCTGACCTTCCATTGAATGCCCAGGTACAAGTGTAAGCAGTAATGCAGGAATATAAAGTAATATATTTAGCTAAAAAGCTATATTTTGGATCAAAACCTTAATGCAGAGTGCAAAAATGTTACATTTCTGAAGTCAGATCAGGCATGCATGATTTAGTGCAGTTTAATTGTTTTCCCATTGATCTGGGATGGCGGAGAGCAGAGCCCATTAAGGTAAGACGCGTGCATGTGCTGCGATTGTGCAGAAGGGCTTAGTGATATGCAGCAGACCTCAAATTGATCATGCTTCCCATGGTCATGCTCCCACGACGCCTGCCTGCCAATAAACAGAACATCCCTGAAAGCAACCAAAAACTGAACTCGACATACTTCACTTAAGGCTGAATTAAATGCAGTGCATGCAACCAAAAAAATAAAAAATAAAAAATAAAAAATATATAATAGATTGTTTTATGTTCAGTGAAAATGCAGTAGAATATTTGGTCACACTTTATTTGATGGGACCTGAATAATGTAGTAGTACATGCTTTCTTAATGCATTAATTAATTAACCAGTAACTAAGTGTTAGTTACATACTGATCCCATGCTTGTTCATCATTAATCAACCATGACAGTTCATGTATTCCATTCAGGCACTATATTAGTTAACAGTTAACTAATTAGTTAACAATGGAAAACGAGGGAGGGCAAAAAGATGCTTATTAACTCATTTACTACTCAAGAACAAATCAATATAGGTTTCCCCATGAAATACATGAACTGTCATAATTTATTATTGTTGAATCAACATGGGACCAGTGCTTAACAAACACTTAGTTACTGGTTAATTGATTCATTAAGTAAGCGTGTATTACTACATTATTCATGTCCTTTCAAGTAAAGTTACCGAATATTTTCCATAAATCTTGATAACATTAAATACAAGCAGCATGTGGTAATCAAATACAGTGGTACCTCGGTTCTTGAACTTAATCTGTTCTGGACTCCGGATCGAATCCTAAAAAGTTCAGATGGAATTTTTCCCATAAGAAATAATGGAAAACCAATTTATTGGTTCCCGGCCCCCCAAAATTACACCTAAATATGTTTTTTTTTTTTAAGCATTTAAACACAAAATGAACAGGATAAAACAAGAAGAGCATTTTTTTCTTAATGGCTTCCAAAACGATAAAGATCTTATCCTGCAAGATCTTATATAGCATTCTGATCCTGATGCAATGCATTACGGTTAGATGCATTGTGCACCTCTCACCCGGCTGCACAAATTGAAACCGCCTCCGTGACGACACACCTTTGCCCTTATTGGCTGAAGAGTTTAGTTCCACGAATGACGTTTGTATCCCAGGCAGTTCCGATGTGTAATCTGCTATTTTTCCTGAATATCACGTAAAGCAGTGAGAACTGGTTTTCAGTTAATTTACCTGGTAAAATAAAGTTTAAATAAATGACATAAATGCTCTAATAGTACACGTAAGTTAGTGGTTTATTTATTGTTAGTTACTGTAATGTTTCGCTGCTTTATTTGGTTAATCGTCAAGTCTGTGAAGAAGGCATTCAAGTAAGAATTGCATTGTAGTATGACTCATTTCCTGGCGTGTACAATTTATATTAGGTCAGCGTTCACGGTTCGACTTCTGATATTCAGATCGAGTTCTAGGTCAAACTGGTTTGTTCGACTTTCAAGAAATTCAAGTTCTAGTGAGTTTGAGAACCGAGGTACCACTGTATAAAGGTGCTATAAAAATTATTTGGTGATTTAATTTTGTTCTTTAGTTCAAGTATCGGTGCTGTCAGTTAACACTGTAGCCTTTTTATGAGTGCTTTGTAAATAACTTTGGCTACCATCCCTACATTCCATGATGCACCAGGAAGACCTCCAGTCGGGGACACATTTGTCCCTCCACTTATAAATCTTCGAAAAGTCCTATATTTGTGCCATGTTGTGTTTTTTTTTAACACAATAGCCCTATATATTTACGACTCCCGGGTTATATCAGTAAGATGGGTGGGTGAAGGAACTGTTTGTGTCTTTGCTCATTCATTCATTCATTCATTCATTCATTCATACATACTGTACATCCATGCCCTATTGTTGTTCATAAGAGTTTGGCTTCTGTTCTTTTCTCTTAGGCTCGGATGGCCCAGACCTTCACAGTCCTTCCTAAAATCTGCTATCCTTTATGTTTTGTGTGCATTTACTTAGCTCCAAAGGTTAAAATGCTGATTTTTTTGTTTTGTTTTCATATGTCTCCACTGCTTCTATTAATCCATTCTTCACTCCTGTACCCAAATAATGTAAAGTCTCAATTCCTTCCTTCCATCCCACCATCTACCAACTGCTTATCCTTGTCATTTCTATAAATGGTCAATCAATTCATCCATCCATCCATCCATCCATTCATTTTCTAACCACTTATACTGGTCAGCATCCTAGGATATAGATATAGATTACATAATGTGTATATACTGTAGTACACTGGTTCAGGCCAATAGCATAATCCAGTAAATGAATGTGACATTGATTAGGAGTAAT